TTGCTTGCCATTGTGGGCTCCCTGCGTACTTATGACACTTTTATGCGTGGCACATGGCGTTGAAGGTACATGTTTGCCATTTAATCTCACCCCAGACCCAGTATGACGGTCACTTTGGGCCTGATGTGCGAGTCTTGACTGTGCTAGCGCACACTGCGCCTTGAAGAGCATTCACCATTGTTTGTCATTTCTTTGGTTGTTGGTCCTTAGACGCGTGTTCCCATTCCAAAATCTTTACATACTTTGGGATTCACCTCATCAGACTGGCCCTGTCCTTGGCATGATTTCGAATGAGACGTTCCTCTCTTTTCTCCCATATTATCTTGTTACTCTTTCGCATTCATCGCTTGCATTCACTTTTTATGTTTGTGAGCATGCTCTTCAAAAATAAATGATAATAGTAGTAGTAGCAGTAAGCAACAAACCACGTCAAATCAGTTTTGCTTACCAAACTTTAAGAACAACTAGTCTTGTAGTTATAAATCTCAGGAACGTTAATCGTAATGCTCAGTGATTTCAAAAGTAGCTTTCAGTTGCGACCAGACAAGTAATGTGTGTTTGTCCGATCCTGGCTTTTGGTTACGTCTCATTATCATCCTCATCATAATCACCTTCTCATTATCCTCATCTACTCAACAAGATCATAACCATCATCATCATTGTCAGCGTCACCAACAGCAAAAAAGGCCTAAACACCAGTACCAGGTTTCTACAGTTAAGAGAATCTATGACTGCCTGAACTTTTGTTTGTAACCGGCTGACGTAGTTCTACGTTCGCCGAAATCACTGCTAGGTTTACGCGTGAAGTAATAGTTGTTGAAAGAACCTGGGGAAGCATGCTCATGGGTTCTCTTCTACAACTGCGATCGTACGCCCTCATTGTTCAATTTCACTTTTGGTCTTCATTCCAGAGTTCATACTTCTAGTTTTATTCGGAAGTACTGCATTTTGGAATACCTCATGCAAAATACCATAAATGTGGTTACAGATATTTCCGACAATGCTTATGAATCTTGCATTTATGGTTGTTGATTCTTGTAATGGGGACCACTTGTAGCAACTTAAATTACGGAACCTGAGGCAATGAAGTTATACTCATAGAAAATTAACTGCAGTATTCTTCACAATCACCGAAACCGTATTATATTCTAATTCTAGGTTATAGTGAACCGCACAAAACTGAAGTCTGCCCTAATTTGGTTTGTCCGACTGAGTATGCTCTAGTGACTGCCCAATGCACTGAGTTCGTTCCATTGATGTAAAGTTCAAACTGATATGGACATTCACTATGCAGCTGTAGCTACAAGCTGCTCGACCAGAGTTCATTGATCAACTCGAAACAAACGTTATGTACCAAAAGCTTTCCGTTTGTATCCAACTATCATTTCAATAGCAACCACCTTTATTCAGTGCTGCCATGTTTGGCTTAGCCTGAGTTAGCTTGAGTAGTTTCAAGATATCATTGATTCCGATTAATTATAAAGTGCCAAACATCACTGAGGAAATTATGTGTTGTTCAGTTCACCCATATTCATCACTGTTGAATGGCGTCAATATTCGGCACACCGAGCAACCATGTGTGGGATGTTGAGCGAAGGTGAGCATATGTTTTCCACCGGGGTAATATCTGAATAGAAATCGCTGAGTTCAGTGAAAGAAACAATTCATACATCTGGTGTCCAACGGTAGAAGGTAATGGCTATTTCCAGTCCAACTTCGACGGAAGACGCGACTTAATTCTAAAAGCAACCAAGAACAAACATCCCTCAAAATTTCGTTAAGAAATAAATTGTTAAGGTGCCTTTCGTGGGTCTAAAACCATGGAGTAAAACACATTCAAAAGACCTAGCCCATTTAATTTAATTTATTTCTCTAACTACTGAAACCGCGTCACTAGTATGTAATCTATTATTATTCCAATGCCGATCTTTCTTGCATCTCAACTGGACTTCAAGCCACCACTCTTGTGTAAATGGGTCAGAATTGCGTAAAAATAACCAAAAGTAGAGTTTATTTAAAGGACGCTGCATGACGTCCTTGCAAAAGTAACCAAATGTTACATCTTAGTGCAGTAAAAATAAAGCTACTGACCTGCTAGATCAAGGCGATATCCTCGAATATCCGAATAAGAACAGGGGAGAACGACTACATTGGCCATTTTCTGGTCAACTCTAGCGGAAAGTCTGTTTAGTTGGATCTATTCTGATATCTTCCACCCTCTATTGTTAAAAGAAAGGGTAATCAAGTGCATAAGCGTCCATCATCTCGTTAGTAAACTAAATATGTTTTTCTCAAGCTTTACTAAACTTTTAGTGATTTTGACTCAGACACATCCAGACAGTTTCTACCCATATTAGACACAGATTCTTTTTTCGGGGCCAATTCCAAGTTCACCCAGCTGAAATTTTTCCTTGTTGTCAAAATATCTCTTCTTAGGTAACCTTTTCCGCGGTCTCCTGTTCATGTGTTTTCGGTTGGCAAGGATGGAAGTGCAACTTTCTGGTGCGTAATATGTACACAACCTCACGACATCCAATACGGTAAAATCGGCATCACTGTCACCATTAGTTCAACCACTTTTATCAAACATGAAAGTTCAAACTGAGGCCAGAAAAAGGCGCACGCAGAAGCAAACAATTGTTTGGATGATTGTGGTCAAATGTTGTCAGGTTGAGAAACTTCAAAGTCTATGATAATTGCAACTCTAAACATATGGAAGTTTTCTTTTGTTGCTCAACAATTTTCGCAAACGTTCCGTGCGTCTTCTAACAACTGATCACCTTGAGGTTCTAGGTAGGGCCTAAACTTCGATAGGTGGATAGTGTCAGGGTGTTGTGAATTACAAGACACTGCGCATCATCACACAATGCATCGTCCAACATCCTAAGTTCCTCCCGTTATTTGGAAAATAAAACAAAATTGGGGCTCCATGTCCACGCTTTTGAGCTATACACATTCGCGTCGTTTTTGTCTAAACATGGTTGGTTTTATCGGTTCATAAGAGTCAAGAATAGTGAAGATTTCCGCTAGGCATGTGGACTTTAAAAGGTGAATCCTCTGTCAGAAAACCTGATGACATCACAGTCTCGTAAATAACATGACGCTTGACAACAACATGTCTGAATATCCTAATGCATAACATAGGATTCTGTGGCAGCGTGGTCACCCTCGTTATTACACGGAATTTCATCTGCCAAACAGCCACATAGGATTACATAGTCAGCTTCGAGATACCCGGATATCAGAGTGCACTTCACTGGCATCAACACCACGAAATGCTTTGGGTAACTCTGAGAATAAACGGAGTTAGCAGCTCTGTTTATATGCAAAGCTGAGCTACTGGATCGGATAAAACTGGATGGATGAAACGTACCTTAAAAACCGTAATTTACCTAAAGTAAGCGTTGTATGCACGTGAAAAGTTATCGAGTTCATGTTAAACTTGGAGACAAAAATTTCTGCCGCCGAAGAAAGTTGAAAGTAGAAATTTCGGAGTGTCATCCCAGAAATGGTGATATTTCATAACTGTCATTGTTAAAATGTTTAGAAATAATTACCGCCTGAACTTAGCTCCTCTCAAAAGGATATAAAATGACAATGTGAATAATAAATACGTTAGAAACAAATGCAGTAAGGTATTTGATACTTGATCATGTAATATTAACCAATTAAATTTTGACAGAATAGAATTTCCATCACTTGGTGTGAAGTTCAAGTTGGCAATTTTTCTGGGTTATCCCAAGTTTAAATGTGTTCTCACTAAACAGTAGTGCTGTCGGTGAACTTTCGAAGGATTTCTTAGTATACGACAAGGAAAAGAAAACCTGTGGACCTCAAAGTTTCAGCTGAGTCGGCGAAACACCGCCGTGGCAAAATACCGGCAGAACACC